TACCAACAGTAACCAGACATAAGTTACCAACAGTAACCAGACATAAGTTACCAACAGTAACCAGACATAAGTTACAAATGGTTATACTAACAAGTTACCAACTTGGTAACTAAATGTTATAACGTTCCAGAAGACCAAGATAAGAAGCAATGTAGAGAGGATCCCCACCCACCAGGCAAGATCTCGGTATATGCACTGAGCAAACAAGCCAACGATTGTATATAAAACCTTGTGTATGAATGTTGTACTCTCTTAATATCTCTGATCCTACCATGACTAGATTATCATGTGAAGGATGATGTGCACTTATCATTGGAATGTGCACTCTTCTGCAATCACTGGATGGAATGTGTGTTATTCTTCAATCAATGATTCGCAAGATTCTCTAATCTTTGTTGTTGAGGCAGATTATTTCACGATTTAACTCCAAACTATGGTGAAATTTTACGGGGAATGATTCGGGAGAAACCGTAAACTTGAATTCAATTTAATTGAAATTATGAGGAATGATTGTTTGGCATGAAATTTCGGTGTGAAAGTATTTCGTACCTAATTTGGTGAGGGATTTACTAGTCTGCATTTCAGTGTACTGAAACTGTAGTTTTATTTCAAAATTCAAATAAACTTTACATCAATGTATTACAGTTATATTTTAAAAAGACCACAATATCTCCTGTGAGGCAAAAACATGGAAAAAGAGAGCTAGAAAAAAATTCATGAGACTCAGCACTACCAGACTGCAGCTGGAGTGAGAAACATTATGTAAACATCATAGTAAAATTTATTTTGGCTGAACCAAAACACGGTGGTAAAACCATAATTACATTGGTGCCGACCAATAGTAATGGAGTTTATTCATCGCTGTCCAAAAATGTTGGACTCTGACTTTCAAAGGTGTGCTATTATTGTGAGACGTCACACATGGACATCACTTAGCCCACTCCAAAATCGCTGTTTGTAGTTGTAAGGCTCAATCTCCATTCTTGTCACGTAGCTGCTATATTTTAGTAGCCGCTCTATATTCTAGTCTATTCAAAGCTATTGTACTCAAGTTGCTGCTTTATATTATAATATTAACTTATTCTAGTCTTACTCCATTGCACCACAATATATTCATACCAACGTGTACGGGGTACTGTCCACTTTACACGTTGGTACTATCGCTGTCAATGTCAAATGCATCTCTGGGTTCCTCCTCCGCCTCCCCCGTTTAGCACCCACCAACTGTGTTAATTACCAGTACTTCTTGTTGTACTCTGCTAATTATATAATATGCTGTACACTAATAATACTGCTTGGGAGCAGCTTGGGAGCAGCTCCTGTTTAATGAACAATCCTTACATAACAATCTGATTATATTGAGAGAATCCTGCATTTCCACCTAAATGCATATAACATGATAATGTTTGATTTGACTGGGTATTTAAACGATATGCTATTCTATTTTTAGATTTTTAAACGATTGAGTGCATGATGGGATTGATTCTATCATGTTTGACTGTCAAATACCATGTTGAACCTGCATGCTTGCTTTCGGTTTGATTATACTGATTGAAAATGGGTGTGCGGATGAAATGGAAAGCAAACTGAAAGCTAATATATAATACCGTATTATCGTTGGTACTTGGTACTATACTATTGGTGTGCAGGTGTGCGTGACCCGGTTGTAATGTTACCGCTGTGTTTGTTCATGGTACTGAGCCGACCACATAAAATTGCATTGTCAATGTAATAGGTAATCATTTGACCGGTAAAAATGATAACAAATATTTCTTATCCCAATGAAATTCATCAACAATTTGATAGAGATAGATAACTGATAACGTTATTAAGCCATAAAATTGTCCATATATTGAATAACTCGGGCTGTTATGAGAGCATTGGAAAAAATGCCATAACACGATCCATTAATTGATGTTTGTTTGAAAACCAGTTTTTGCTGGTACCCATAAGGGCTTTGGAACCAATATATAATAAATTGTATGAATAAATCAAATCCCCGTGGGGCACGCGACATTCAAGATCTGATTATCAGAAACTAGTTAGAAAGTTTGTACAGTAGAGCACAGCTGGTGTTTTTAAATTTGCAGTTAAAGCAAGATGTATCTGTCAACTGTTTTTTAATAAATTTAACAAGTTGATATTCTTGCTGGACGACATGGAAAACTCCTTAGGCATTTGAGGTCATCAATTTAACGATCAAAACAGCGAGCTGTTCAACGACGACTAACTCGTAGCTTCTTTAACAAAATATATCTGTATTTTACGTGTGCTGCAAATGCAATAGGTTCATTTTGGTTATTTGCTTACATTTTGATGACTTATTGGTTTAGGAAAAGGAATGGTCGAGATTAGAGTAATCTTATTAACATCTGAGCATAATTCTAGAGATTTAAGCTTAAGAAATAACAAAGTTATGCTTTGGTTGTTTTCAGGGCGGCCATGCCGCGTTGCTTCAAGGTTATCGGGAACTTGATCGAGTCAACTCACCGCTGGGTGAGATTTAGTTCTGGGACTAGCTTGGGACTTAATTAATTAAATATTTATTTACCAATTAACTATTTATGTTCTGTCGCTATTACAAGATTTACAACTTGGTTATACACACTCCTTTATCAGAAAGAGAGGTGTGTGTAAATACGTCACACACACACACACACACACACACACACACACACACACACACACACACACACACACACACACACACACACACACACACACACACACACACACACACACACACACACACACACACACACACACACACACACACACACACACACACACACACACACACACACACACACACACACACACACACACACACACACACACACACACACACACACACACACACACACACACACACACACACACACACACACACACACACACACACACACACACACACACACACACACACACACACACACACACACACACACACACACACACACACACACACACACACACACACACACACACACACACACACACACACACACACACACACACACACACACACACACACACACATCAGAATTAACCTCACCAGAGATCCGATTAGAGCGAATAATTGCACTCTCGGGGTATCACTAATCAGCATTTATGTGTATTTAATATTTGGCTGGCTGCCAAGTCACGTAATATAAAATTCAACAGACTTTGATTGTCTAGATCATTTTGCTAATAAAGGTGTATCTCAAAATGAACCTTCATAACCACCATTATGTGTTGTAAGTTTTAGTTCCAGTTACCAGTCAATGTTTACAGACACTCCACATGGCGTATCTCGTACAATGTCAATTGTTGTTGGATACAAATTGTATTGGGGGATTGTTAGATATAATGAGATATAATGAGCTGAAGTAAATAATATGCTATGGTAGTTATGGTATTGTGGTATAATGGGAGCTTTGCCAGGGACACACAAAGCTACTGGAAGTATAATTGTGGAACATCAAGATAATGATTCATTAGATATTAAGAGTAAACTTTAAGAGTATTTAGAGTAAACTCTGGGGTATTTAGAGTAAACTCTGGGGTATTTAGAGTAAACTCTGAAGTATTTAGAGTAAACTCTGGGGTATTTAGAGTAAACTCTGGGGTATTTAGAGTAAACTCTGGAGTATTTAGAGTAAACTCTGGGGTATTTAGAGTAAACTCTGGGGTATTTAGAGTAAACTCTGGGGTATTTAGAGTAAACTCTGGGGTATTTAGAGTTCCTCTAAATATCTGCTTAGGTAGTAAACTACGGAGATCAGTTCAGGTTGGGTAGCATTTATCCGTCTGCAGCGTGCACAGACTACTTTCGGCTTTTGTGGATAAGTACGGAAGTAACGGTGTACTAACTGAAGTAACTAGGGCGATGATGCACTACCACCATCGGTTAAACTCACCAGTAACTCACTCACCAAATAGAAAGACCATGACAGTGTCGTCACTATAATAATGATCACTTTACCAGCATCATAAAACCAGTTCCACCATGATCAGCCTAATCTAAAAAGGGGGGGGGGGGGGGGGGGGGGGGGCTACTGAAATTCCAGTTAATGACAGGATTGTGTACTCAAACATTCCTAGCTACAACCGAAGTAAGTTTTTTTAGAGTGCACTTGTTAAGCTCTGTGCCTGATTACGGCACTGTGCGTGATTACCGCACTGTGCACCTTGATGCTAATCAGGGGAACAAAACTTGTGGAGTTCTGTTCCCCAAGAGTGGGTAGGCAGTTCACATTGTGAACAATGTCCCGGGTATGTGAACAATGTCCCGGGTATCCTGAAAGTTGGGGTCCTGTAGAATCTCCTTGTTATGCAATGGGAACACTGTGCTGGTAATGAACACGGGCTCCGTGTTGTGGGCAAGTATCCAGTTAAACGATTTGCATGTATTCTGCAAATCTTGTGTGGGGTGTATGTCTTTATGGATCTGGTGTAGACTGTAGATTATAATATGTGGTGTGATTCTGGTATTGAGTGAAATGTTTTATAGATGGTATTGTGCAGAGTTAATAAATTCTGTTTGGAGAAGACAAGCTAAGTACAGATTCCAACGTATACCTAAAGATATTTGATCATTTTGCAAGCGGCTTGATCATAATAATTAAACTCAATAACTTACTTAATGTGTAATTAAGTTTCTACCAACGTCTTGCAAATAATCAAAAAAGAAGCACGATATTTAGTCATCGTACATTATTAATTGGGAGTAAGATGCCAAGATGGGTGAGCTGTGCCCGTATTCTAATTACTATTCTAACTATTCTATTGTACGCTGAACCGTGTCTGCATGATCAATGTCAGCACGTTCTACTAACATGCACAAACATGCACAAACATGCACAAATAACTACGTGTTGTCTTCAAAGCAGAATATTTGACTTGATTCTATCAAGATCAGATACATGCAGCTACATATTATATAATTACAGTGTGCTTACAGTGCTTACAGTGCTTACAGTCCTGGTATTGTACTAACACCTCTTACCTTCCTACAGAAAGCAAATATTGGCAGCACAGATACGTTTGAACAAAGGATATCTCAGAGCAAGTATACTAAGGATAGCTTTACTTTCCTCAAAGTCCTGGGAAAAGGATCTTTTGGCAAGGTTTGATATGAAATTATATTATTGTTGATTCGAGGCCTTTCTCTTTTAGTTTTAAAGTTGGTTTTTAAACCGTTATTTAAACTATTTTCAAAAGTTACTGCTTAGTATCACATGTTTTAGGGTTGATATGTTATTTTTAGAGGACAGTTTAAACTCATGTATTATACTTAATCTGATAAAGTTAAGCGAAGCTATTTCAGATAGAATCATAATTGTGAAAGTTAGAATTACAGAAATTTAAAATCTGTGTCGACTCGAAATATTGCTCCAAGTTATTTTACAAAATATATAATTCTGAAGGTAACTGTTCGATTGAAGCACTGTTTATTTATAGATTGAAACGACTGCCCTCAGACATTATATGCAGTATTTCGATTAAATCTCTTTCTTCTTGGCGATCGTGAGCTAAAAATAGCTTGACGTTCCATTGTTGTGAGAGTATTTATCGTCATGAGCACGTTGGATGATAAAATTTTAGTGCTTTATTTGTTATGATAATACCCCCGTGACTACAGCTGTTCGCCCTGCCTATTTTGAGTGGTACACTCTACACTACACGTATTTAAGTTCGAAACGTATTAAAGTTCGACACGTTCTAAAGTTCGACACGCTCTGAAGTTCGACTCTGTCGAACTTAAGTGCGCTGCCTGGACTCTAGTTCGAGTTTACCTCAAGTGGGCTTCATTATCTAGTAAACATTCTAGCCTTGCCAATATCACTTCCATAACGTGTAAAACTATTGTTAAGGTAGATGAATGCTTAAAACTATAATGATAATAATATATACTATTAATGCTTTTCATATAAGTTACAACAAATTCTTCATGTTATGTATCCTGGGTTTGGACGCTGCATTTTATTGCAATCGATTATAATTATAAGCGGGTATGTTGTAAGTAGACTATTAAAAAATTAGGGCTTCCCGAAGCCTCACTAACTTTTTGTTACGATGTTAAATTCATACTGCTCGGCCCTGAGAAGTCCATGAGGAGCTATTATTGTAAATTTCTAGAAACTTCCGACCAGAAAGAAACTTCACACTACTCAAACATGCCAAAATAAGTTACTCACTGGATTGTATTCTTGGCAACAAGCCATAACAAAATACTGTACATCTAATTAAACACACACGCGTTTTACGTAGTTTACAAAAGTGAGCAAATGTTGTACATCTTACCAGGTTATGCTGGCAGAGCTGAAGGGTAAAGATGAAGTCTACGCTATAAAGATTCTGAAGAAAGACGTGATAGTGCAAGATGATGACGTGGAGTGTACGATGACTGAGAAACGTGTGTTGGCAATGGGAAACAGACCCCCATTCTGTGCATTCCTTCATTCCTGCTTCCAGACCCCGGTATGTTATCTCGTTGTTAGTAATGTTTACCACATACTTTCTTATAGCCGGAGTCGTAGATATGGTTTTAGCATTTAGTTCTTGTTAAATTAACAGCAATTATGATGATCATTCAGTACGGCTGTGTAGAAGACTTTTGTCCGGAAGGTCACTGGGATGGTTTACACTGACCACATGTCAAACAATTTCTATAGACCTTACTCAGACCAACCTACTTTAGACAAAGAGGAATAACTTCTCGTCTATTCCTATCCTTAAACAGCTTCATCAGCTTGATAATTTTGACGTTGCGGAAGATAATAAATTTTGATCATTTAGGCCTAATCGAACAGTCTCGTCTACTTTCACTATTCTGGTGTGGTTAACAGACATCGTGCTTTTATTCATGGTATGATTGCTAGCCCATTGTGTTTACTAAGACATAATATGGTATCTATAAATCGTACGGAAAAATATGAGATGCTCAGAGGCGATGTATTCTTTGTATTTGTGGCACGCCCCCATTCCCTGCCCCCATTTGTGGGCTGTGACACGCTATATCCTTATATCTGTATATCTGAACCAATTAATTGCTCAATTCTCGATAATTGATTTTAATCATAGCTTTTAATAGATCAAATCAGAATAAATTAGAATGACGTGGAGTAATACTGGCAAAACCTCAATAATAGGCAAATTACATGATGGGGCAAAATTCACATCCGCCACAAATTTGAGAAAACACCCTCTGACACCTTCAGTGGAGCAAAAGGTAGTGTGCAAAATTGTAAGCGAAGTTGCAAGAATGTCGCCCGGTTTTAAATTTCTCGGTATTGTAAGCAAATGTCGCCCTAATGCTAACATTATTGCCTCGCATGGAAAAGGTCCGGGTTCGAATTCGGTCTCAAGTACTATTTTTCATCCAAACTGTGACAATGTATTGCAGAGATCTAATTACTCATATTTGATCACTATATAATATTTGATTACTCATATTTGATGTCGGTAAATTCCTTGCCTGGACTATGAAAATTTATCTGTTCAATATTTGGCTGCCGAAAATTTCTTATCACCGCCAAAATCTCCTCAGACTGCAGGTGAGATGTGTTCTGGCGAAATTGTAACATTTGCGCACGGACCTAACTTTTGCGCTATTTTGTACCTGAACTGGGGCGACATTCGCTTACAATTCTGAAAAGAAAACATCTACTGTGGAGCAAACTACTCATCGACCGGTCGTAACGCGCGAGTGAAAATTTTATAATATCTTAACGCAGAAAAAGCGCGCGTATTTGCAAATTTTTACGCGCGCTGGACGGACGAATATATATATCGATCATTACAAGCTAGACGTCGACTACTTGAGCGTTTTAATCAATTGCTTTTTTTAATATAACAGACTGCATTGTATGATGCGTGATGTTTTCAGGACAGACTGTATTTCGTGATGGAGTACATTAACGGAGGCGATCTTATGTACCAGATCCAGCAAGTTGGGAAGTTTAAAGAAACTCAGGCCTGTTTTTACGCGGCAGAGATTGTCGTTGGTCTACTCTATCTGCACAAAAATGGTGTTGTATACAGGTAAATAAATACATAGTGATCTTCAGTAGAGCGCTGGTCCTAAACAGAGCTACTGGAAACGTTTCTCCCTCATTTGTACATTTTCGAAAAATGTTTCGAAAAGTGCTGCAATGTGAAACGTGACAATTATTAATTTTGCAGAGATTTGAAATTGGACAATGTTATGTTGGATTGTGATGGTCACATTAAGATCACCGATTTCGGAATGTGTAAAGACGAGATGTTTGAAGGCAGAACTACAAGAACATTCTGCGGTACACCCGATTACATTGCTCCTGAGGTAAATTCGTTTCTATTTTATCATCTTCTTTTCATCCAGAAAGTTATCACTAAAATGTCTGACATTAAATTGCTATATTTACAATTCTGATTTCTGATATAAGTTATGACCTGCTCTTGCCAGTTTTTTTTTCAAATTTCTCAATTCTCAATCTAACAGCCCGTTCTCCTTCCAGATCATAGCATACAATCCGTACAGTTTCTCGGTGGACTGGTGGGCCCTTGGAGTTCTCCTATACGAGATGTTGTGTGGTATTCCACCATTTGATGGAGAGGATGAGGACTCTCTCTTCGCTTGTATCGTTGAGAGTTCCGTCAGTTACCCCAAGTCTTTGTCCAAGGATGCTAGCTTAATCATTCAAGGGGTAACTGCCATTACATTTTTCTTACATTTTACAGGATCTCTCGTGTCTCTCGTTGTCCCATTGTGACCACTCTAAATTCTTGATCTGTTTTTACGATGAATAATTACAGTTCCTGACGAGGAATCCAGAGACCAGGTTAGGATGTGGTCCCTCAGGAGAGTCTGACATCAGGAACCACCCCTTCTTCAGGCCAATAGATTGGGGAGCCCTGGAGAGGAGAGAAGTGAAACCACCTTTTAAGCCTAGGATTGTAAGTCACGTGATACTTGATATTCCCGATGAAGTTCTTCAGTATTTACCCACAAGTAATTTTATATTAACACCGTCACAAAATTGTTCAGATACTAAAGAAGTTAACCTATTTCAGAAAAACAAGAAATCTACTAATAACTTTGACTCTGAGTTCACCCACGAGAAGGTGGCTCTTACGCCTTGTGATGCGAACTTCATTAAGAAGATTAACCAGTCCGAATTTGCTGGATTCTCTTACTTCAACGAAGAAGAGTTCTTACGAAGGTATGCGGGGGTTGAAGATGTTATTCGTACATCTAATGATGTTTATTTTTCTCCATTCAGTGTTTAATAATTGGTCCTCATTTATAAATGTCAAGTCCACAGTGTAGTTCGGTCTGGGGCGACAATGGTAATCAATGGACAATTTAAATATGGAAATTTACATTTATCTACTGCCGGGTAAAATAATTCCTTGTGTTTGAGATTTAGCAATCAAAATAGACTAAATGTTGCTGAAACGCTCTTTGTTTGATTTATCTATTTGGGTTTAATCAAGTTCACACCTGAATAAAATTAAGGGCAGGCCTAGTTAATTTTAGTCCAGAGCTAATTAAGGACTAGCAAAAACTAATAGAACGTCAACATAGACTGTTTTGGATATATTATAAAAACATTACCGATTTGTAAAAATCACTGAAAGTCATATTTCTTATCTCCGACGCACTGACAGGCTGGGTGCAGAACCCACATATTATTCTGATGACGATGATTTCGATTCTGACTCTCAATCTCCGCCTGACCGTGCCAGTTTTAGGAAATCCTTTACTCAGACCATGTGGAAGATGCTGTAAGAACTGAGGGGATATAATACGCCTTGGGAATGAGATTTGAAGCACGCAAAAACCATGATTACTCATTCGATTTTTTCAATGATTAAAGGATCTTTCATTAGGCAGACACGTGATATTATTTGAAATCAGATAACGCCCCGTGAAGCAGATAGCCATTTAAATGACAACATGATTACTCTATCTTTGACATTTTGGGCATAGATTATGCGTCCCTACTCCCTTAAATACCAGCTTGAATAATATCGTCCGTGTTATATATCGTTGGGAACATTTCTCGACTGGGTATCTTGGGTCCTTAAACGTTGGGTCCTTAAACTTTCAGTTAAAACATCTTCATTGTTCTTTCCCTTTCTCAAAACAGTTCATAAATGTTAGATACAAACACTGACCTGGTATCATACTAGGCTTTATGATCATTTTCTCATTTGTATCAATCAAACGTTATAAAATCAATGTTGTAATCTTAAATGATTACATAACTGTTGATAGTGTAAGGGTACGGAGTGGAATCATATATTACTGGTATAAAGCTATGCATATGATTACACTTAGACACTGACGGATATCCACCATTTAAAAAGTCCACATTAAGTTCATACAATGAAAATTGGCCGGTTGAACTAATACTGAAACTGTGTGCGTGTGTGCGTTTGAAGTGTGAAGCTCTCTAACATCTGGAATCTAGTAACAGGATGAGGAGAATGGTAAAACTGACTACATTTAACTCCGTCTTCTTCAACGAAGAACCAGAATACTTTTACGCTGACCCCAGCGTGCCACTGTCTCCTGCAGCTTTCTTTGACGAATGTATTGCCACACGAGAGTGTTCTGTGATGTAGCAAGGTGAAATGGTTTTTACCGGAGCTCTTTACTCCTGCACCAACACTTTTCTTGCGTTAGATATCTGGGCTTTACAACCGCACTTGTGTTCTGTTCGTGAAAACGGCCTCTCCAACTTGAATTTGTCATGTAGAACTAAACGAGAACTGCAGCATATCTTTGCAAAACTTGGCTACCCCTCACACAGGTAATACGTTCTCAAACTGACTGCTAGATTATAATTCTAGGTTTGGTTTGGCTGGATTCGGTGGTGATTTCCCCCACTTAGTAGCTTATAGCCTGTAGACGTTAGTCTTGAATATGTGACATCCACCTTGACGTCAGCAGTGTTCATATATACATATATATATAAAAATGCTAGAACTTTTGGGAGAAAATATGATATCCCATCAGATTAAAGCACCAAAGAAATATAATTAAATCATTAATTAACATCCCTGTAAGACATTTTCCATTTCAGGTTTGGAGATCACGCCAGCTAAAGAAGCCGGATAAGATTTGCCCATATCATACACCGATATTAGTTGTGGCCACTTGGTTGTCTATTTTTACTGTAGTTTTTAGCGTACCTATGTGAGAGAAATGTTTTCGGTTTCCTTCTTTTATTATCGATACTATCTAAAGTGTCCTGCGTATAGGACAGCTTAATGCGAAATTCGGATGAGCATCATTTTGTTTGGCACGACTTCTTAATTTAACGTTAATGCACGAATCCACGAAGTCAAATTAATCTGCCAAGCATCATCGCGAAACTTAAAAGTCGTGCCAAACTTATTTTCATTATCAGGAGGATTTTCTCTTATCATACTACTACGGGTAATGTAGCCAGCTCATTAATCTACTAGTTAATTGATAATAATCAATTTCGATATAACTAGAATCATAGTTTGTTCTTTGACTTCTTCGACTTAAAATTTGGCGGGTATTTCTAGATAAATTTGAGGACAGCATGTATAATTGAGTAGTAAATATCGCTGAATTTTTAAAGTGCATTCTTATTTGGTTAACATAATCATACTTACTACTTAGCGAAGTTTTCAGCGTATACATAATTTAGAAATCGAACATTTCAGTTTTATAATTTGCATTGTTTAAGTTTGAATTACTACTTTATTTGTTTTGAAATGGCAGAGCTTATTTTCTGCTTTCATCACAAAGAATGCTCTAACTTTTGGTTAAATCTGACTAAGAGAGATCTGCCAGACTTTATTTCTGAGATTTTTTCATCTGGTCGCTTTTACAAAAATAGATTAGTATCATTTCTGATTATTAGTGTAAAATTTCGTGAATTATTACTTGAGTTTTGTTATCATTGAACATGTATGATGGAGGAGTTGTGTGTAGAGAATAGAGACATCATTAGAGACGGAATGGAAATGGTTGGTTTATCAATCATAATCAAGGGAGACGCCGGACCTCGGAAACTGCTGTACAATTTGCGTAAACAATTTTTAGCTTTTCGTTTAGCTTATGATATATTTATAGTTAGTTATAATTCAAATTGATATATATTTATTGACGAGGTAGAAGGTTAAAGATTATCGGATAACTTTAACATCAAGGAATGTTGCGCACATTTAATGCTTTTCTGTCATTCAAATAACTGATACTTTCTTGGTTGAATTTGAAGATCTACTTTGATTTACAATTGGAAATTATCTTTAAAGGGATGAAATTCAATCCTTTGTCTGTATAACAGATTCGAGTTGTTTTTGCTGCTACAGATTAACTTTAAGAAATATTTAGTCTCCTTTTGTTAACACGGGGTATCCTGCGGGTACTAGAAAATTGTAGACGTGTACAGAAAATTAATGTTTCGAATCTTCTTGAAGATGAAATTTTCAGGACCGAAATTTTACAGTTTTGTAAAAAAACAATTTTCCAATTTCTGTCCAATTTTCAAATTATATGAAAATTTCTGAACACAAATTCGACAGATTGGATGAACCTTTTACGCCGAAACCAATTAGTCAGTTAATTGATGAAGGTATGAAACCAAATTGAGGTACTGCAAGTCAAAATCCCGAATAAAATTGCAAAATCATCTTGTCCCAATCTCTGTCCCATTTTCAGTTTTTGAAGATGAAATTTCCAGGACCGAAATTTTACAGTTTTGACTGTTTTTTTTTTTCACCCGCAACCAATTAGTAAATCAACTATAGATGTCAAATGACACGATTGAGGTGCTGGAAGTTTGATTGCGGTCGGAGGAAGCCCACAGCAGAAAGCTTAACAAAACGAAAAGTTGTATTTTCAAAATCCTGTCCCATTTTCAAATATGAAATTTTCTGACTACAATCTTGACAGATTGGATGAAATTTTTGCCCAGAAACCAATTAGTCGGTTAATTGATGATGGTATGAAACCAAATTGAGGTACTGGGAGTCGAAATCCCGAATAAAATTGCAAAATCATATTGTCCCAATCTCTGTCCCATTTTCAGTTTTTGAAGATGAAATTTCCAGGAACAACATTTTACAGTTATGACTGATTTTTCCATCCGCAACCAATTAGTAAGTCAATTATAGATGCCAAATGACACGATTGAGGTGCTGGAAGTTTGATTGCGGTCGGAGGAAACCCACATCAGAAAGCTTAACAAAACGAAAAGTTGTATTTTCAAAATCCTGTCCCATTTTCAAATATGAAATTTTCTGAACACAAATTTGACAGATTGGATAAAGTTTTTGCCCAGAAACCAATTAGTCAGTTAATTGAAGATGGCATGAAACCAAATTGAGGTACTGGGAGTCAAAATCCCGGATAAAATTGCAAAATTATATTGTCCCACTATCTGTCCCATTTTCAGTTTTTGAAGATGAAATTTCCAGGACCGAAATTTTACAGTTTTGACTGTTTTTTCACCCGCAACCAATAAGTAAGTCACATATAGATGCCAAATGACACGATTGAGGTGCTGGAAGTTTGATTTCGGTTGGATGAAGCCCACAGCAGAAAGCTTAACAAAACGAAAAGTTGTATTTTCAAAATCCTGTCCCATTTTCAAATATGAAATTTTCTGACTACAATCTTGACAGATTGGATAATATTTTTGCCCAGAAACCCATTAGTCAGTTAATTGAAGATGGTATGAAACCAAATTGAGGTACTGGGAGTCGAAATCCCGAATAAAATTTGCAAAATTATATTGTCCCACTCTCTGTCCCATTTTCAGTTTTTGAAGATGAAATTTCCAGGACCGAAATTTTACAGTTATGACTGATTTTTTCACCCGCAACCAATTAGTAAGTCACATATAGATGCCAAATGACACGATTGAGGTGCTGGAAGTTTGATTACGTTTGGATGAAGCCCACAGCAGAAAGCTTAACAAAACGAAAAGTTGTATTTTCAAAATCCTGTCCCATTTTCAAATATGAAATTTTCTGAACACAAATTTGACAGATTGGATGAAAAATTTGCCCAGAAACCAATTAGTCAGTTAATTTAGATGGTATGAAACCAAATTGAGGTACTGGGAGTCAAAATCCCGAATAAAATTGCAAAATTATATTGTCAAAATCTCTGTCCTATTTTCAGATTTTGAAGTTGAAATTTCCAGGACCGAAATTTTACAGTTTTGACTGTTTTTTTTTTCACCCGCAACCAATAATTAAGTCACATATAGATGCCAAATGACACGATTGAGGTGCTGGAAGTTGGATTTCGGTCGGAGGAAGCCCACATCAGAAAGCTTAACAAAACGAAAAGTTGTATTTTCAAAATCCTGTCCCATTTTCAAATATGAAATTTTCTGAACACAAATTTGACAGATTGGATGAAATTTTTGCCCAGAAACCAATTAGTCGGTTAATTGATGATGGTATGAAACCAAATTGAGGTACTGGGAGTCGAAATCCCGAATAAAATTGCAAAATCATATTGTCCCAATCTCTGTCCCATTTTCAGTTTTTGAAGATGAAATTTCCAGGACCGAAATTTTACAGTTTTGATTGTTTTTTCACCCGCAACCAATTAGTAAGTCACATATAGATGCCAAATGACACGATTGAGGTGCTGGAAGTTTGATTTCGGTCGGAAGAAGCCCAAACCAGAAAGCTTAACAAAACGAAAAGTTGTATTTTCAAAATCCTGTCCCATTTTCAAATATGAAATTTTCTGACTACAATCTTGACAGATTGGATAATATTTTTGCCCAGAAACCAATTAGTCAGTTAATTGAAGATGGTATGAAACCACATTGAGGTACTGGGAGTCGAAATCCCGAATAAAATTTGCAAAATTATATTGTCCCACTCTCTGTCCCATTTTCAGTTTTTGAAGATGAAATTTCCAGGACCGAAATTTTACAGTTATGACTGATTTTTTCACCCGCAACCAATAAGTAAGTCACATATAGATGCCAAATGACACGATTGAGGTGCTGGAAGTTTGATTACGGTTGGATGAAGCCCACAGCAGAAAGCTTAACAAAACGAAAAGTTCTATTTTCAAAATCCTGTCCCATTTTCAAATATGAAATTTTCTGAACACAAATTTGACAGATTGGATGAAATTTTTGCCCATAAACCAATTAGTCGGTTAATTGATGATGGTATGAAACCAAATTGAGGTACTGGGAGTCGAAATCCCGAATAAAATTGCAAAATCATATTGTCCCAATTAGGAACCGACCGGAAATCCGGCTGAATCCGGTTCCGGCCGGATATCCGGCTTCAAAATCCGGTTCCGGCTCCGGCTCCGGCTGGAAAAAAATTTGCCGGATTTTTGCCGGATTTTTTTTACCAAAAAAAAATCAAAAAAATATTTTCGGCTAATAATGAACAGGGTAGCCTGAATCGTGGAAAAAAGTGGTTTTCAGAAAAACTTTTAAAAAATGTTGACTTAGAAGTTTTTCGGTCCGAGTCGTTCTCGAGACGTACCTCCTGTATCGAGAGCTCCCGCTTCCGAGCTCGTGTTGCAAAGGGGAGGCCTGCCTTCCAAGATCACATTACCGGGGGAAACCTCGAGTCCAGAATTGTGTATCGATGGGTAGGTGCGGACTTCGAAAAACCGAAAAAATATTTTCGGCTAATAATGAACAGGGTACCGGTAGCCTGAATCGTGGAAAAAAGTGGTTTTCAGAAAAACTTTGAAAAATTTTGACTTAGAAGTTTTTCGGTCCGAGTCGTTCTCGAAACGTACCTCCTGTATCGAGAGCTCCCGCTTCCGAGCTCGTGTTGCAAAGGGGAGGCCTGCCTTCCAAGATCACATTACCGGGGGAAACCTCGAGTCCAGAATTGTGTATCGATGGGTAGGTGCGGACTTCGAAAAACCGAAAAAATATTTTCGGCTAATAATGAACAGGGTAGCCTGAATCGTGGAAAAAAGTGGTTTTCAGAAAAACTTCGAAAAATTTTAACTTAGAAGTTTTCGGTCCGAGTCGTTGTCGAGACGTACCTCCTGTATCGAGAGCTCCCGCTTCCGAGCTCGTGTTGCAAAGGAGAGGCCTGCCTTCCGTGATCACATTACCAGGGGAAACCTCGAGTCCAGAATTGTGTATCGAGGGGTAGGTGCGGACTTCGAAAAACCGAAAAAATATTTTCGGCTAATAATGAACAGGGTAGCCTGAATCGTGGAAAAAAGTGGTTTTCAGAAAAACTTCGAAAAATTTTAACTTAGAAGTTTTCGGTCCGAGTCGTTCTCGAGACGTACCTCCTGTATCGAGAGCTCCCGCTTCCGAGCTCGTGTTGCAAAGGGGAGGACTGCCTTCCGAGATCGCATTACCGGGGGAAACCTTGAGTCCAGAATCCAGAATAGTGTATCGAGGGGTAGGTGCGGACTTAGAAAAAACCGGAAAATATTTTGGGCCACCTCCCTGGGCTAGCCCCCGGCTATAATCGCAAAATTGGCAGTATTTAATCTTCTGATTATGAAATACGAAATGTGAAGTTCACGTGTTCAGGGTCTGGGTAGCTACTTAATTAGCTCATTACCGCAATCATGTGACTCAGATCTAGACGCCAGACGGTGATTAGTACTGTACTAGACAGTGCCTGCTTGCGAACAACCTTATTAAGCACCTCTGGTTGTAAGTCACGTGACCCAATGATACTCAGACTTGCATGAAAAAAAGGGAATTCGCACAAACGCGCTCAATCAGGGGTCTGGCAGCATATGCCAATTAGATATCATTTCTGATTATTACTCGTCTAGTGTCGTGACTCGTGTTACATTGTGTCTGCTACGTACTGCTTGTTTAAGTGCAATGTCTAGTAGTAGATAGGAAGATTTGTAAAAAAACTATATCTGTTCGGACGTTGAAGCCGCCCTAAGTCGAGTCGAGTAGTAGTAAATCTAAAACATCGTCCGTCTGGTTGTTCTACTCAGAAGAAAATGGGATCCCTTATGCAAGCTGCAAGAAGTGCTCGATGAAGATTAGGCGTGGAAAGGAAGGAAATTTTCCGGCAACATCCGGCAAAAACTGGCAAAATCCGGCTGCCTTTTATTTCACTCTGAAACCACCGGTTCCGGTCCGGCAAAATCCGGCTTGCCGGATTTGAGATCCAAATCCGGCTGAATCCGGTCCGGCAGCCAAAACCCCAATCCGGTCGGTTCCTAGTCCCAATCTCTGTCCCATTTTCAGTTTTTGAAGATGAAATTTCCAGGACCGAAATTTTACAGTTTTGATTGTTTTTTCACCCGCAACCAATTAGTAAGTCACATATAGATGCCAAATGACACGATTGAGGTGCTGGAAGTTTGATTTCGGTCGGAAGAAGCCCAAACCAGAAAGCTTAACAAAACGAAAAGTTTTATTTTCAAATTCCTGTCCCATTTTCAAATATGAAATTTTCTGAACACAAATTTGACAGATTGGATGAAACATTTGCCCAGAAACCAATTAGTCAGTTAACAGTTAATTGAAGATGGTATGAAACCAAATTGAGGTACTGCATACTGGTAGTCAAAATCCCGAATAAAATTGCAAAATCATATTGTTCCAATCTCTGTCCCATTTTCAGTTTTTGAAGATGAAATTTCCAGGACCGACATTTTACAGTTTTGACTGATTTTTTCACCCGCAACTTGTAGCGCGATGCACTACTGGGTCGCGCGCGCATCAAATAATGCTTCTCGCAACCTTCGGTAGATCGGCGAGATGCACCACTGTGCCTCACCGAGCTGCGAAGGATTGACATCGTGAATCAAACCCGCAACCAATTAGTAAGTCACATATAGATGCCAAATGACACGATTGAGGTGCTGAAAGTTTGATTTCGGTCGGAGGAAGCCCACTATCAGAAAAGCTTAACAACGAAAGAAAAGCTTAACAACGAAAGCTTAACAAAACGAAAAGTTGAATTTTCAAAATCCTGTCCCGTTTTCAAATATGAAATTTTCTGAACACAAATTTGACAGATTGGATGAAGTTTTTGCCCAGAAACCAATTAGTCAGTTAATTGATGATGGTACGAAACCAAGTTGAGGTACTGGTAGTCAAAATCCTGAATAAAATTGCAAAATAATATTGTTCCAATTTCTGTCCCATTTTAGTAAGTCAACAATAGATGCCAAATGACACGATTGAGGTGCTGGAAGTTTGATTTTTGTCCCATTTTCAAATTGAGGTACTGGCAGTCATTATTGTAGCGCGATGCACTACTGGGTCGCGCGCGCGCATCCAATGGCAATATAAATGCTTCTCGCAACCACAATTCGGCGTGATGCGAAGGATTGACATCGTGAATCAAGACCTTATTTTGAGAACGGATTTTTGATGTGAGAAAATATTGGAATTTGGCCGCCAAATTTTTTTTGAGGCCTAAATCAAAAATCCGTTTTCAAAATAAGGTCGAAATGCGATTTCTAGTCAATTCCGAAAATTTTATGCAAAAGTTTTGAAAACTGATTGAGTTGTTGCAATTTTAATAAAAGAATATCGCGAACCAAGATGTGGGCAATTTAGTTCATTTAAGGATTGTTTTTTTTCGGTTTAGTCTCGACAAAACTCTGAAGAAGCCAATAATGAATAAGCAAAATTTTTTAATCAGCCGGTGCGGTAATTGTAATTTAATTAATGGTTTTGTACCGGACCCCAAATGTGGTACTAAAGTGTTTCACCCTCTCTCCCCCATTTACAGCTCCCCTAATTACAGATCTGATACATAATTTAATTTGGTAAATGGTAATTTGGTTGTAGCGCGTTGCACTACTGGGTCGCGCGCGCATCAAATAATGCTTCTCGCAAATAATGCTTCTCTTCGGTAGATCGGCGAGATGCACCACTGTGCCTCACCGAGCTGCGAAGGATTGACATCGTGAATCAAGTAATTTGGCAGTAGAGCCAGGAGACTTAAGATTGCCTATTAAGTTTGACGGATGTTACTTGTCTAAATTTCTTCGAATTAGCGCGCGCGCCGCTTTCTTCTCGAAATAATAGCACTTGCCCGATGGCAAGTGCTACGAAGTAGCGCGCGCCGGGCCAGACCATTAACAATCAACAATGGTCAACTATTAAGTATAACTATGTCTATTGGATACGTGTTGGGTGCTCAGTCCTCAGAATTGAATTTACTCTATATATATAATGCGGCCGGTTTCGACTTGTCATACGTTGTATGACCCGCCGCGTACGAGTGCGCGGCTCCCCTTATATCGTAAGATTAAGAACGAGTGGAATGACCGTGGATGTCACAACGTGATACAAGTTTCGACAGAGCGAGTTCATGCTTTTGCACCGTTTTAACTTTTGCGCCGTTTATAATTTTGCAGTTCAACTGCGATAGTGAAGTCCCGGCTTTAGGCACGGGTTACACTTACACTAGACCTAGTTAAAATGGCAATAACTTCATGATTCAAAAAAAATTAAATTCTCATATTGAAAATGTCTCAATTTTCACTAAAATCATACCTGAACATATAATACATGATACAGGGTGTCCCAAAAAGGCCGGCGACCAAGTGACTTTTGTTAATAACTCTCCCCAGATTTAATCTAAAAACTTGAAACTTCTCGAGTCATGTGCTAACTGCTATGATGCTTTCAAGACAAAACTTCGTCAGGAACTTCTAATTAAGAGCTTGTAGAGTTGCCGTCTACTATAGTAGTAGAGTTGCCGCCGAGCATACTTCGCCGTATAAATTCGGTCCATTTTGTTAAAGTCTGAAACTGAATTGACTTCCAACATTTTATGGCTCAAACTGGTTCCGGAACTGCGTCACGGTCACGTGATCACCCTGTGAACATGACAGCTGCAGGATCTATATAGCTCGTACGTGGGATCAGCTGATCACCTTCTTAACTGATTATAATCGATTAGGTGCCCGGTATTCAGCTGCATGCTTACGAGTGAGCAGCTCTGTTAGAGCCGATCAGGTATCCAATCGGCAATCAGCAAGTAATACCCACAATGAATAAATGAATTGCTAATTACACGACTCATGTGAGGTTCTCAAGCAAATGATGTGGTTGTCCAAGATAAACATCGCATAATGTTCATTTCGGGACCAAAAAGTTATTAAGACTGATCACTTGGTAGCTTTTTATTGAGTCACCCTAAACTATCATACTTCTATCACACTATAATGACACACCTATATTATATACAATCATGAATCAAATCAAAACAAGGGTACTAGAAACGTGTACACATCCTAAAATCCTAATAAATCTCAATATGTAATAATTTAAATCGTAATTTACACCTAGAGTATAGAGCTGAGAAAACTAAACAAAAATAAATCTAGTTATTATTATGATATTAAATGGATTATGAGATATTTATTTGTCAAGGCATCACTGTCAATTCGAAGCACTTTCATCGCAAAAAGTGTACGAATGACGAAACATACCAATGTCTCAATATCTTAAAGTTAAATTCGATTTAAACTAAAAACTACCGACTTCAAACTGATATCGAATAAGTAAAATCCATGTAATGTAGAGTAAATAAAAGGGTGAATAAATACGCACTTGAAGCGCTTAAATTGAAATCGCAGCTAACTTATACCATGGTAACCAATAACATGGTTGCCAGGTGAGAAGTAAGCTGAAACAACAGTCGAAAGTCCTAAAAAGTAGAGTTGAGGGTCTCTGGTAGGTTATTCTAATTGTAGCAAATCCAGGTGCCTTGCTACAACTGATTGTCGTCCTGTAATGAGATGGTTATTAGGGGTGGTTATTAGGGGTGGTTATTAGGGGTGGATATTATATTTTGCAACGATTTGTAAAAATAACTCAATTTAAGGATAGAATAGTTCTTCAAATAGTCATTATATTTATGTAAAATGAAAATGCAAAAATTAAGGTCACAAAGGATATAAAATGTAGCGGAAAAAAGATCAATGGTTTAATGAAAGTCACAATAGCAAAATATCTTCAATGTTAAATGTTTATCAGCGATTAGCAGGGACAAAAGGATTTCGCGATTATTTTGGCCAAAAATCGCGATACCGCGAAATTTAACAGGCTATACATTAAACTATACATAAAATTTGTCGCAAATAATGGGAAAAATCGCGATTCCGTACATGCCGCGATTTCCTTTTGTCCCTGGCGATTAGTGAATACGGGTAGGGGATGCATAGCAGATGAATCAGTGAATTGTTAAATATGAACGATGAAACTCGATTCTGGGGATTGTGAAACACGTGATCATATAAATAGTTCAGAGAAACGCTGATACTTATTAATATTACTTTGCAATGAATGATGAATAGTGACTTATGAAACCAGAGAATGATGCTTCAGAATATGCTTAGGTTTCATGATAATCAGTAAACAAAGCTCACCTACAACCTAGCAATTCCAACCTACCCTCATGGATACAAGTCACAAATGTCACTCAACTGGAAGTTTAAATAATCAGAGATAATGAGACTGAGTTAGTGAGAGATGAGGAGTGACATGGAGTGGAGCGAGGTCAGGGTGGGTGCACACTGCAAATACCCTACCTCAATCACTTTCATTTCAACTAGCCTTATCTCTCACCTGGTAACCATGGTAACTAGCTGGTAACCATGACAACTAGTTTATCTCCCTCTCATGGTCCGTTCGCTGTAAAATAAAAGGAGAACAGTTGTTTCATGAGCTGATAAGTTGATAATTCTTATCTTGATTCTATTCCGGGATTTACTGATTTATAAGATTTAGCATGCGCGCAATATATAAATATTGGATAGTAGTTTAGCCCTACATCGGGTGAATATATAAATAGCAAGGGGGGGAGGGGGGGGGGACCGAGTAGCTGCATATTCTATACATCCCGGGGTGCGAGGGGGAGAAGGTATACAGGATAATATGCAGGGAGAGGGGGCCAAGGGATATCAGTGTGCAAACGTTTGAGCTTATTAGTCACTGAATACCTTGTCATACGTTGTATGACCCGCCGCGCACGAAGTGCGCGGCTCCCCCTGTATCGTCACCATAGTGAAACGACCGTGGCCTGGGGGTCGCAACGTGATACAATGAATACCCGCGCGATAGAGATTATTCTTCGTTATGAGTATTGCTGAAAGCACAGTGTAAGGCCTACACGGACCGCCTCTAACTAGCCAATCCCTGTTTACATGCCGTGTAGCAGGGGACTAGAAAGAGCTAGTTATCAGCAATCATTCGGGGATTACATCAAATGATGTTAATTGTTTTCAGATTGCCGTTATTTTTCGCGACTATTTTAGATATTTTTAATTTTAATGATTGGATCGACCCAAATGAGATAATAAAAATGCATTGTGTTTGGCTATTCACAATATACCTGAAAAGATGGAAGGTTTATCTTCTCAGATGACCCAGAATCCAGATAGAATCAGGTGAGATACGACACCTTAATTGGACTTTACTTTACTTCCTGCATAATCTCATGGTGCAAATCTAGTGTCAACCCAATCACCTGATTCCACGTATAGTAAACAAAAACTTCATCTGAATTTAAACTTTCGTACAAAGTTTTTCGGATTATGTTTCATATCGAAGTACCTTTTGCAATTTGCAATATGTAAAAATAAAGTTTCTATCATTTTCCCCGACTAGACCCCAGAAAGAGTATAAGTGCATGGCCTTCAACAATCGCATTCTAAAATTTTGGCGACAGAATACTTGAATGAGTATTTACAGTATGGGGTCGTTCACATATTACGTAATCACTTTTTGAACAATTTTAACCCCCCCCCCCGGCCCCCCTCCGTAATCAGTTATATACACAGCTATTGTGTCAAAATTAAACAAGTGACTAGCGTAATCATTTGGAAAATCCCCCCCCCCCTCGGCTGATTACGTAATATGTGAACGACCCCTATGCCATCTGCAAAGTTACTCAAACATGAAAAATGGCTAAGTTTATGCCGAAACATTTACACACTGACTCAATTTCCGTTTAAGAGCATGCCACGGCGATTCCCTTCAAACTCGCCTAGAAAATGAACTGTAATGGACTAACACAATCTTTATCGAATCTTCATCAGAAAATCAAGAAGGCCGACAAGAACTTTCCAACTAATCTGTAATCAAAAATTCTGGAACGGAACAATTTAATAAGCGTATTCTACAAGACCTAGCTGGACTTACGAGTGTCAGTCGAATGGTCGCACATGCCGATAAACTCGACGTGTCTGAAGTTAGAGGCTAGCATACTCTTCACATGCTCAGTGTGTTCAGAGTTTCTCGTCTCTACCATACATCGTACCTGAGTTAAAAAGTGTAAACGCAACACTGAACACCAGATCAATATCTGAATCAGCTATAATGGTGTTTGTAGTTAATTAAAACCGCAAATGCAACGATTAAGGGCAGTATCACAGTAGCCCGACATGTGTTCGCGAACAGGTGTGTTAGGATTAGGGTTATGGTTAGCTAGGCCAGGGTTATGGTTAATTAACCTAATTGCTAATGGCGCGCGCCATGATATGCATGTGCATGCATGGCCATGCATTCATACTGTGACACTGAGTGTCTGTTATAAGCTTTTTCATTACAAAATGTCGCCGCGCGCTACAAAAAAAATTTGTAATTCGACAACTTCCAGAAGGACTTTCCACTAAACTGTTCGAAAATGCAGGGCCGAACTGAAGATGAATCCGAAATTTTGGAAACATTTGAGACAGCTTCATATTTTTTTAATGTATTTGTCCGTTTTAAAAAACACAAATCTTCAGTCTTGTAGCCGTTTTACTATCTGAGAAGTTTTCTAAAAATCTTATAGTAGGATCTAGAGATAATAGACTATCGTCAAATATTGTTCCGCAGAAAGTCCAACTCAAAACTTCAGAAGGACTTTCGACTAATTTGTTCCAAAAGGCTTCAATCATTCATTCAGTTTTGATTTTATAACTCCATGAAATTAAGGAACACCTTTTTGTTCTTATGCAACAATATGGTTGAACTTTGAATTTTGCTAAAATCATTATAAAACTACTCTTACTTCCTTACCGACGTTAATAAGCAAAAGAGCAGCCTGGAAACACTTACATAAATATATATAACCAGTAATATTAGTAATATTACTCACCCTAACTGCAAACACGTCTTCTAGTAGCCACGCTCGCTCGTGTAGAATATCTTTTATACTGAAATATATTGACTTTAATTAACGGTACATAGTTTTATTCGGACTACCGACTATTGTACTTTTTTTCAGGGCTAAATTTGGATTTGTAGTGTAACTTGTCGACGTCAGAGTTTATACTCTTAATGGTATGAATATAACGGAGGTGGAAAGAGCGGAAAATTTAGATTTCTGTACCAGGGATAAATTACAAACCAAATACCAAGTAATATTATATGCGAAACTAGCCACCATACATCATGCGAAAATATAGACTGCATAGAGAATATTTCGCAGAATATATAGGTATTCCGTTTTTATATTCCGGTATACAGTAAAACCCCGATTTACTGCGCCCCGATTTACCGCAAACCCCGATATACCGCGGCCATTTTCTTTCTCCCAAACACCGCGGTAAATCGGGGTTTTACTGTATTATGACGCGTAAAACTATTGGACTACGATGTATGGGGACTTGCCACCCCATGGCCACCCCATATAATATAGCATTTAACAATTTCCAAAATCACAAACCAAAATAGAAAGATAGAACAACATTGATATAATGGTGCTATAGCATAGTAGTTGAGTAGTAATATTAATTGCATGGTTTACCGTGTCTGAGAGCCGTGACAGGAAAAATGGTGGACCATGCTACATATTGCTACGTTATATTATCATGGTTATATCTGCATATTATGCATATTATGCATATTATGCATTGCATAAGTGTACCAAATCTTGACTCTCTACACAATAAATGGCATATCAATCAAAAGTCTTTAAAATCCCCCTTCCAGGTCATTTCTTTAAGAATACAGAGTGGATCAAAGATATTTGCAATGCTAGAAGTTAGGTGTATTATGAAGAAATAAGAAATAGCACGATTTTGGAGTTCTGGGTCTACGTATAGCTACTATAATATACCAGGGTAATAAAATAATTGTTACACCCCTCTAAATGTTAGTTTATGAGATAATTTCACCTGATACAACTTTGTATCATGATTGGGCTATTGTGCGCCATGTTACTTTTTGCGTGATTGCATTCCTAACCTTGGGTTATATTGGCCTATGTTACCCGACTCTGTAGTCTGTAACTATGGTAATTATATTACCCGACTCTGAAGGAATTAGAAAGTCTACAGGGACTTTAAAGCCTGTCCTCTCTCAAGAATAGTGGGAGGATTGAAATACCAAAAGGCAGGGCTGCTTTATGTTGTAAAGTTGAAAAAAAGTTGCACAATTGACAATTCTATAGAAATAAAGCTTTGTAAGGATTACTTAAGGCACGGGGGAGAGGAGCTGGCAGGGTCACAAATTCTAATACTTAGCTACTCAAATAAATATTATGAGGGCTAGCCTAAGGCAGCCTGGCTCTGAAAATTTACAAACTATATGGTACAAGGAACTAACAATTACTTCTAGGACCTATATCTGATTTGTGTGATTATTTCCAGATTTGTCACTGTTATTAACGTTAGAATGAGGTTGTTTATTGTTCTGCTTATAGTACTGTTACTGATAAACGCAGTGGTTGCGTCACGTAAGAATAAGAAGAAAGATAAGGCCAAAGCTCCAAAACAAGGAGGAAAGCGGCGCGACAAATGTGTGTTGCATGTAGGTGAGTTTTAGCACACGTGGTTAAATTAAGTCTTTTAAAGAATCAATTTTGTAAGAAAGTTGCCTGATTAGATGATAGATCGCATAGCTGTACAACAGTATCATAGTCAAATTTATATTTGCCAGTAAACTTGTAGCTATACAGTGTATTCTAAAGAATTTAATAAAAAACCACAGAATTTTCAATATAACTTTGTTTCAGGGCCTCCACCTCCAGGGTCTTTATCAGAGACTCACGTGTCTTGTAGAACTTCGACATTCTTCGGGTTTATGAAGGAGCTTCGTTACGAGACTTCTCTTGGTGGGAGAGGGTTAAATCTAATAACTGGTACGTTTTGCGTGCGGTTAAAAACTAAGGCGCTTGACCGAAATTCTGAGGACAGCCACTCCCTTTTTTAGTCCAAATAGTCAAATACAGTAAAACGTCGATTTACTGCGACTATTTCTTCCCCCAAATGATAGCTAAATAGACATAATATGAACAATTAAAACCCCGATTAACCACTGAACACTCCGATTTATCAAGGCTGTTTCCTGTAAGAACTAAAACGGATCTCAACATTTCGAAGATAATCCGTTTGCAGATGTAATTCTTTTTAGTTTCTAACATAAATAACAATTACACATTTTAACAGAAGACGTTTCCAAAGTCTGTGTTTGGTGCGAAAAGAAAGACAAGAAAAAAAAGAAGAAAAAGTGCAAGAGCGGCAAACGGAAGTGCTTCTAAAGGAGAAGTCTTTTTGGGAAATTTCCGAGTCAAAGCTGAACTTCATTTAAGAGAGAGTTAATAAATAACTAATTTTGTTAGCTGGAATATGATATATTATCGTAGCGAAATATTTAAAATGCTACTTCCTTATACTTATGTTTTTCATTTGATGATGAAATAAGAATTTTAGTTTAAATTATGTTCAACAAAAATATTTCATAACATTGGCTGGTTAGTATACCAACAAACTATATAATAATGTTTCATTTCTAATTTGATGTCCCGTCAGTAAATGTCTCGTCAGTAAATGTCTCGTCAGTAAATGTCTCGTCAGTAAATGTATCGACAGTAAATGTTTCGTCAGTAAATGTCTCGTCAGTAAATGTATCGACAGTAAATGTTTCGTCAGTAAATGTCTCGTCAGTAAATGTCTCGTCAGTAAATGTATCGACAGTAAATGTTTCGTCAGTAAATGTCTCGTCAGTAAATGTCTCGTCAGTAAATGTCTCGTCAGTAAATGTCGGTGGAAGTGTCAGAAATTTGTTTATGGAAGCATTTTTTAATTTTACGTTCGAAAAAAGGGCGCATAGCAGTGCTTGAGGCGCTGCATTTTTGTATTTTACAATTCTTCAAAATAATGCCATCGCACTGATACAAATTTTAGTAAAATGTCCAAGAAAAATTAAGTATATATTATCGTAGCGAAATATTTAAAATGCTACTTCCTTATACTTATGTTTTTCATTTGATGATGAAATAAGAATTTTAGTTTAAATTATGTTCAACAAAAATATTTCATAACATTGGCTGGTTAGTATACCAACAAACTATATAATAATGTTTCATTTCTAATTTAATGTCTCGTCAGTAAATGTCTCGTCAGTAAATGTCGGTGGAAGTGTCAGAAATTTGTTTATGGAAGCATTTTTTAATTTTACGTTCGAAAAAAGGGCGCATAGCAGTGCTTGAGGCGCTGCATTTTTGTATTTTACAATTCTTCAAAATAATGCCATCGCACTGATACAAATTTTAGTAAAATGTCCAAGAAAAATTAAGTACTCCTGTCTCCTCAATAAATACTATATCGAAAATTTGATGTGAGTAATAGTAAGAAGATTTACAAGAAAGCCGATGGGTAGAGAATATCACCGGCAGTCGGTAAATTGTGGAAATCCTGCTCATGGGGGGGAGGGGGGGGGGGGCCTGCTCATGTACAGATTTGAGAAGCCTATTCTAGAGGCTCTGGGCTCTGGATAGGGAACATAATTTAAATACCCCAAATTCTCGAGAAAATGCGAGGAATTATTTCCTAACTTGACACGGTGGTTTTGCTAGAATTTCACTTCGCTAGAATTACACTCCTTTCTTTTAAGATGAAGCGTTCCGTTGTTGTGCTTTTAGTTGTATTGCTGATAAATGGAGTGGTGGCCGCAGGGAGAAGTCCTGTATGTTACGTAGGTAAGTTTGCAGCGAGGCCACAATTGATGGATAAACAGTTTGCACACTGCGCACAGTGACAAAGGGGATTAGCAGCTCTCTAATGTCATTATTCACTCCTATAACATACTATAAGGTGTATTCTTTCCTTTAGTAACTTAAAGCTTGAAGGAAAGAAAAGAAGTAACAAATTATTTCAGGGCCCGCAACAGTTTCAATATCCAAAGTATCCTGTAGCACTGCAGCTCTGCCTGGTTTTATGCGGGATCTCAAGTTCGAAACTTCAGTTCACGGAGCAGGGCTCACTTTTATCACAGGTACCATTATTTCGGTGGGGATAGAGTAAAGATATCATATTATCCTACATTTATTTGTTGGGAGTGATAATTTACACATTGTATGTTGTGTAAATCGTATCCCAAATTTACCGGGAAATTAGCCCATATTTACCTAAACTATAGTCAGTTCTTCAGTTTGACAAAAGCGATTTGCATTGTACACTACTAGCACTACTAGGTCAGTACTAAGTCTACACCCGGCTATTTTTCAATTCCATATTTTAATGAATAAAGCTAGATCCTTACTATTGTGACCCATTATATTCACAGAAGATATAACTCGTTGTCGCTGGTGTGAAAGAAAAGAGAAAAGAGAGAAGAACAACAAGAAAAAGAGAAGGGATGGAGAATTAAGTAAGCAGTTCTAGAAGTAGAAGCGAACCCTCAAAAAGACATTTTCAAATTACATGACAATTGTTTTCTCTTAAGATTTAAAAGAATGGATTACATTATTCATATTTCATACCTAATGAAATTTATATATAAATAGTATGATATCAATGGTGTAACATTGGTAACAGTAGTTTTTGTTTTGTACTTGTTGAGTTAAGATTTTCTATCGACTATATTTAAGTTCGGTTGAAAGAAACAAAAATGATAATACAACTATACAAGGCAACTAGGTCATCTGTCAATGGTCCCATAAAGGTCTCTATAAGGTGTCTCTATAAGGGTTGCTTACAACAACATGGCGAACCTAGCGAACTAGGATCGAGGGTCCGATCTCCTTATCGCTATCCCAGTTATATGCGGACCTTAACGGTTGCTTAAAGAATGAATCCATAAAGGTCGCTAGAAGAAAAAACTAAAATTCAGATTATATGGAAAGCCCGGCTATTGTAAGCAAGCTATCTGAAGATAAAGCTGAACTGTAAAGCTGTAATATTATACTCCCCCGGCCGCGTATGTACTCAAGTCACTAATAAGCTAATAGTCACCTGGCGCCCCCATACTCAAGTCACTAATTGTCACCTGGCGCCCCCCCCCTACTCAAGTCACTAATTGTCACCTGGCGCCCCCCTACTCAAGTCACTAATTGTCACCTGGCGCCGGAGTCAGTGAGCATCTGAGTAAGACTGTTCATTCCTCCCGGAGCATCCTTTACCACGACGGTGAAAGAGAGCAACCTGCCGTCAGCAGCTAGTCCTCGCTCCAGACATCTTCCTAGCACCGTAGTGTCTATATTACCTCCGCACAGGATTGTAACTACTCTGAGAAGGGGACAAGTTATACTACCAAGATCACAATTAAAATACCAGTTCAATTTAAAATAAAACGGTGACCATTCAATTCTTGTACGTATGAAGAGAAATTATTAAAAGAAAAAATATGAATCATACTTAAACTGGTCCGAAGTCGTTCACTTAAGAAAATAAAAAAACCAGCTAAATGAAAAAGGTATGTATTTAACAGAAATAGAAGTGCCAACAATTAAAATAATTATTAACTTCTTTCCTGCCAGTTCAGGGAGTAGTCCATCCATGAGAGCAGCTAGTCCCACAACACCACTTCCCTCAACTACTGCTTTTTCTATCTCTATCAGTCGCAATATTGCTAGTGCTATCGCTTTCTCACTGCAAATATGTTCAGATATGTTATCTATGATTTGCACACTGTATCTCGACATACACTGTAAATCGTCAGGCATTTTATATCGCCATGTAGTAGATAGCCTAGATCCCTTTGAATTACAGTCTAAAAAGAAATTTCATTCGGCGATAAAGGTTTTAAACGTTTTATGCTCACAATACAATTTGATATTGAAGTTTCTTTATTGCTGTTTATGACTTGATCTATGATCTTAACATATTGTCACAAAAAACATCCAGTTTCGTTTGTTTTGTTGGACGTATTAATAGTCTAAACAATTCAACTATTGAACGTGTATGAAGACGGAAACACTGAGATACTATCTACATTACGTCTAAACAATTCAACTATTGAACGTGTATGAAGACGGAAACACTGAGATACTATCTAGTATCTACATTACGTCAGCTCCAGTGCAGTGTTACGTCAGATCTAGTTATAACGAATATCATTATATTATTACTAATGACAGTTGGTATTTATTATTTGATTCTATCAAGTATAATTTAATCCGACACTCTTGATCTTAAAGCTAGTTTACTAAGTGGCCCTTATGAGTCATGACTTGGTAATACATGAGCAGACTATCACGCACATACAAACTGAGCGCTGTATAATACATGCTGAGTGCTGTATAATACATACTGAGTGCTGTATAAAACATGCCGAGTGCTATATAAAACATGCCGAGTGCTGTATAATACATGCTGTCTGCTGAGTGCTGTATAAAACATGCCGAGTGCTGTATAAAACATGCCGAGTGCTGTATAATACATGCTGAGTGCTGTATAAAACATGCCGAGTGCTATATAAAACATGCCGAGTGCTGTATAAAACATGCCGAGTGCTGTATAAAACATACCGAGTGCTGTATAAAACATACTGAGTGCTGTATAAAACATGCTTAAAGTAAATAATGTGGCTGTGCAATTTGCATGAAAAGAAGAAGAATGTGCATGCTATAATAGCCATAGTATGCTGGGAACTATTCCAATACATTACATTCGTGAATCGTGACGCGTGTACATTAGAAGCATTTAGTATATTATATTCTAAACAATTAACATTCCGTCAAATCCGTTCGTCACACATTGTTGGATGAACTCTGCCAATATTTTAGTACTGTCTGTCGTTCATTAGCTATAAATGGAAACAGTAGACTGTATTAGAATTTAGACACAATCCAACAATGCGCACATGATATTACAGTAGGATACAGTAACCTGGGTATGGGTTGAGCATGTACACAGTACAATATGTATATCTAGTGTACACTGTACATTAGAAGCAGAGCTAAGTCATCATATCCGCCATTACACTATTAGCAGCTAGATCTAGGTAACTGGTAACTATCTGCTCGGTAATTGGGTGGATATTTCGGAAGGATAGATAAACTATTCTTAGAACCCTCAAAAAGTGGCGAATTCATTTTGTCATACTTATGCTTTATTAGGCCTAAGAAACGTAAGAAGTTCATTTACTTACTTACCAAAGTTTTACCAAAAACTATTGCAAAGTGTTAAATACATTTATTGCTGTAAATTTGAATATTCTTGCAACAGCTCCAAACTTACAAACTGACCTACAACCCCCTCCCCCACAGCGGGGCCCTTCATCATGCCACTGGAAGGATGATGCTATGAATCAGTATTATATGACTAAAGTAGTAAAGTGGTACACTACACACCTAACTGTAACTACTTTGTCGACTAGAGGCTGTGCGGTGACGAACGCGTTGAGACCCACAGTGGGCACAGCCAGACCGTCAGCTAACGAGACGTGAGTTGCTGCGCGCACTGGCTTTCCTGCTTTCAGTGCTTCTGTGAAACTCTTACATCTGACCGCCTCAACACCCTGTTAAAAAATATAATACAAATTCAAATAATCGTTAAAATGCTTTAGCAATTATATCTACAATTATAAACAGTATAGACTACAGGGAACGCAAATCAAATCTACATTATAGAGGTGTGTTAATGAAAATGATTAGAAGTGAAAATAAAAGCGCTGGTTTACAGACTCACGATGATCTTAACGTCAGGGTTCATGTTTTTAGCAGCCACAGCAACTCCAGCAATAAGACCCCCTCCCCCCACTGGGACTATAATAGCGTCCACATCCTCCACCTGACTGCAAATCTCCAGACCTATGGTTCCTTGTCCTGATATAATGTCGGGGTGGTCGTACCTGTAACATTTAGTTAATATCAGTATTTAGTTAGTACCTGTAACTCTGTCAAATTTTGCAAAGTGGTAACTCCCAGGAAATTATTGATTTAATAACTCAGTAAGCCATGTAATCAAAACTTATCAAAAGTAGTTCTTGAAGTTTTGAAATATTTGAAATATTTATCGAGCCATCTAGGTGTCGTGTCACTGTAATATTTAACAAGCTGTAATTCAAGAATCTCCCGAGTACCAACAGTTTTGATTTAAACTCAGTTTGTGATTTTTGAACCTTGCCTTATTGGTTCAAAGCATGAAATATTCTTATCTATTAATCTAATAACGACAGGAAACGATAAGAATCAGGGAGCGTACAATGCGTATGTTCCATCAGTCAGCACGTGATATAAGGGAAATTGATTTGATTATCTGATATGGTCTGTCACACTGGCCTTCTTCCGCAGAGTTTCAAAGACTTATACTCATGCTTATAGTACGACACATTTTCAAGGACAAACTGATCTTATAACTAATTTAAATATTAAAATTTCATCATTTAAACTCTCTTTAAACAACCGGCAGTAATGTCTTACCTACATAACAATTATATTATAATTATAACACTATTGAAGGAAATCATTTTGAGCAAAGCAAACCCATTTATGTAGATTTGACCGCTTTTCTCTACTATAGTCATAGCGTGATCCTTGGCCTGAAATGAAAGTAATAATGCAGACCAACAAAATTTCATCATTAATTGTTAATATGCATTTGAACATATATTTTTGATTTTAGAACGATGGTTCTAGTAAAAACACAAAAAATTACATCTGATGTATTATAATGAAAAGTCGCACCTCAGCAATACTTGCACCATGAACAATAACATTGGCCTTCATCTCTTGGCACTGTGAAATCTTCATAATCGGAGCAACCACAGGCATAACCACCGTCACCTAAATAATAACGAGGCATTATAAGAGCTGTAACTGTAAGTGGACAAGCAGACATTGTGTAAAAAGGTGAATATGAATCATAATACAAATATAAGAGCCTATTTGCAACATACAGTGACGTCCAGGAGTCCACCATGATAAGCTAGAGCCAGAGCATGATTACCAGCTGATGCTGCAATAACGCCCTTCTTTCGTTCCTCATCTGTGAGTTTTAATAGGGCATTACGGGCTCCTCGCTCTTTGAAACTGCCTGTCCTCAGCTCATATTCTTTTTTTAAGTACAGCTCGCATCCCAAGATGGCGCTTAAAGCCTCAGATTTCTGAAATATAGGGTCATAATGTAACAAATAAGAAGCATATCTTTTATCAATCCCATCAACTCATCAAAGAAATCGCTATTGATTTCCACTTTACAAGAAAATTACCATAAACTATGTATAATCAGTTATTAATTAAACACTGACAACTAGAGGGGTTTTTTGGATCCCAGATTTGGTTCTGTAAGCAGCAGCAGTCACATCTCTGAATTTGACTATAATACCAGCTGCACATTCTGGAGCTAACTCAGCCATAACAGGTTCCTTAACTGGAACTGGGTGTCTCTTGACATGATTAGTCGAAGGTGTATCTTTATCAGAGACACGAGATTTTCTCTTGGAACCCACAGGAGCTTCAGAATTACTCATGTTGTGCTAACGATGACAGATATGTGAAATAGACTAGAAAACATCAATTTCAAGAAAACAACAATTTTTTTAGTATCAATTAAAGCAAACAAAAATATATTTTATGCAACTATACATGATATAAATAAATAAACTAAACTATCGAATAAATTATAAATTTATATTAATAATTCGATCTGGAAAAAAGATTTGTAAATTAAGATATTTAATAATTAAAACATCATAATTTATATCAAGTGGTTTAAAACGCCCAAAATCGATCTGAGAGCTTTTCAGCCTATAGTACAATCATGATAGTAATAGTAAGTGTGTGCTGCTGCAATTAGATTAGATTACTGCAATTTAAAGTTGTTAGGAGTCCAACTTCCAAGTAATAAGTATCTTTTAAGTCAGCTGCCTGTAAAGGTATTAATAGTGCTTTGGTTCTCAATTTTATCAAGTTAATGGAAGTTTCTAGGCAATTGCTTGAAGTGAGAATTTGTTTATGAACAGTGTTCCAAAGCTTGGCTGCATTAAACAAAAAGGTATTTGATTTATTTATAAAAGAATAGCCGTTAGACTCGTTGTACGGTTTGAAATGTTGATGGCCTCACAACTGATAACAGTGGCGTAACGTTGCCTGTTGGCCCCCCACCGAAAATGCGCCCCCCCCCCCCTGTTGGCGCCCCCTCCCCTTTTAGCGCCCCTCCCTAAAATTGAACAAATTAGGTGATTTCAGAGGATACGTCGGTAAAATCTCTAAAGAAGTGTGTTTCTAGAGCAAAACACGCAGTTTTGCTAGTACCTCAGTTAAGTTTTTCAAAATTGTCCCACATTTAAACGACGATTCTGCACCCTCCTAAGATGGCGAGAGAATTCTGAAATGCAGTGGTATTTGAACAAGTTTTGAACCGTTAGAATCTTTAGTCTATTAAAAATGGGTTTTGTATGCTCCTTTTCAAAGTGTTTATGGCCTAATTTTGGCATGCCATATGGTCTAGTTCATGCACATATTGATTGTTTATCACCAAGAAGGATCCTTATACAGTTCTTCTGTGTGATAAAAAGACTATCATTTGACCGTTCTTTGATGACAACGCCCCAAACACTTAAAATAACTGAGATTTGATTCAAAGAGAGCATTATATATTTTCAAATATGGTTCAGCAGGTATCGAGTGCCGAATTCTACAGATTGCACCAGTCATGGAATGCAGTTTTTTATGGATGTAGAGCTGACATATCCTGAAATAAGTGCATCAATTGCTACTCGCAAGAGTGTAAAAATGGCATCTGACCTAATAACTCAACAACCTGAAGTCTGAAGACTTTAAAACTATGCTCTACCCCACTCAATCTGATGATTCTGACCGTTTTAATGCCCAAGATGAGCGCTTAGCTCCAATCAGAAGCTGACATATCTTGAAATAAGTGTAATAATTGTTACTCACGAGAACGCTAATATAGAAAAATCGGATTTTTGGCGATTTCTCAAAAACTAAGTCTCTTAGGCCTTTAAAAGTATCTTCATAGCACTAATATAAACATGCATCTTAGGCACATTTTGGTTCATAATTGAGGTCTGTATCTCAATCGGAAGCCAAGATAATTTATAGTGGGGGTCGCAATATGGGTGCGGTCAAAAAGGGCGTGATTCCGAGAAATGCCCCACTTGTGAAAAAGTGTTCCCGAGTAATTAGTGTTATTTAGGGTCATATAAATCGGATTACATCGAGAAACTCCGCGGACGTCCCAATTTGTGCGGGACTTTTGCCAGTTACCCGATTATTCTCAGATGTAGCGCAGCGACACCATTGGCCTGGTGCGGTAAATCACGCTGGATAATGAAATGATAAAGTGGTACAAAGTATAAGTTTCGCGCGCTATGTTTACACAATATATTTGTGAGTCCGTCCCACATTCCAGAAACACACTCCAGACAAGTCGGTCCAGACACTAGTGTAAAGCGGTTGAGCTGATCAGTGTTCTGTGTTATATGCGTGAATATATAGGTTATATATTTGACTGTGGTGTGTATTGTGTGTGTTGTGTTGTGTGTGTAGTATGTAATCTATATGAACTAGTTTGTGTGTTCTTAAATAAGCACATGTCATTTGCATCGAAGTTGAGTTCTGACCATTCATCAGTGTTTCCAGATTGTTGAGCATTGAGTAGCATATTCTTAATGCGACTTTTAACAAGTGCAATTGGGGACGAGAAGTCAATATTACTAGAAGGTTTAAGGAGTTTATTCCACATACTCGAGGTTTTATATGTAACAAACAAATTGGTTGCGGAGGAGGTAATAAAGTAGTTATCACGTCAGGGTGACTTTTGAAATAAGTTGTACATCGGTATTGTGAAGTTTGATTATTTTAAACATTTCAAGTAGACAGTGTGTGGTACTTATACAAATTATGCACGCAGAGTATTTTGTTTCTGCAGAGGAGGGGTTTACTTGATTCTCGTTTATAGAAGTCGGCTCCAAGTTTTTGGGATCCAATTGGGCGGGTTCTAGCACATGTTTTGAACTTATTACTGTACGCCTCTTGATCACCAATTTATAGAATACGAGTGCACTTTTTTTGAATTTTAAATAATACTAGAGCAGGTTAGCAAATGGTCTGGTCTGTGCACAAGTCTCATCATATTCAGAGACAGGCTTGAAATGGATGTAGCAACATTTGGACATGTTGATATGGAGTAGATTACATTTCATGTAAAAACTAGCAAAGGTACCAGCAATGAGCTTTGCCGATTTTTTCACAACAATTATAGGTACGGTATGTTACTTGCCTTGCCATTTTGAAAATCTCTGATCACCTCGATAATCTTGCCTTCATTGTAAGTTTCTTCCAGGTATATGGAGTCAGATACTGAATTAGACATGAACTGAGCAAATGATTCCACTGGTTCCAGAGAAACACTATTGTTCAACAGTACATTTTTATTAAGATTATTTGCAAAATATTCACAACATTTTTAAGCAATTATTCGTCTGCAAGTGACTCTCTGACCATCTATGACTAAATCGTCCTTACATCTAGACATAGTTTTACCACAGAGTTCATTAATAACTTCTCAAGTTAGGTAGTTTTAATGTACAAGTCTTCTTCCATTCGAAATACAACCCAATTTAGGCCCTGGGTAATCCAATGGTTGGTTAGGCTGTTACGTTTAGTGGTTTAGGAGTGTCACAGCTGTGGTGGAACCTATCGATATCGTTATTTATTTCAAGATAGAGCTTCTCTAGGTTAGCATTACTATAGTAGTAGTGTGTGGTTTTAATTAGCACTGTATAGTTTAAGATATTTATAGCTTATTATAACCATTGATACAAAGGCCATAATTTTTCACCAGCTCTCTAATATCCATCTCGAAGTTGCATTTATATCATCAAACTACACAATATAAACTTAAGCATACTATATAGTGTAAACTTTCTGTCACAACAAGACTGCAACCCATAGTAACAGAACCCTAATGTCTACTAACAATTTTCTTCTGATCCTAATATGAGCCCTAAACTTAACTGAACTAGCGTTTCGGTGTGTGCAAAAGCTTCCAGGTTAAACGGTTAAATTTTACTATTTTTAAATGATTCAGTTTTGATAATTTTACTTATTTATTTATTCAATTATTCATTCTTGTATAGCCAAGACGAGTCCGTTAGTGTTCTCTCTGGTAATTTCATGTTTAATCCTGTTTAATCCTGTTTAATCCTCCTTGCCCCATTAGTTACCTGTCCTTCCAAAACCAAACTAGCAGCCAAGGACAAAAAGTCATACACCAAATGGGCATTATATTTTATGAATTGTTTTACAAGAGTAAATATAGATGTAGTTACATTGAAACGTCGAATAATCTCCTTTCCCTAATAAGAGCATTTTTACTTGTCGCAACAACCGGGATAAAGATAATTTTACACAGAATACAGTAAATATAGGGTGACGGTGGAAGATCTTATCAGATATGACACCCGAGATATAAAGGGATTGGTCTACTACATTGGTATGGATATTGTCAATACAAGCCAGGCATTTGATGAGTTGGTACTGATATGATTGGTGTGAAGCCGTTATTGAATATTATAACTTGGAATTTGTCGTCTGATGGACAATGGAGATTGGTCGTTCAAAATGATGACATTGAAATCACCAAGAATATATACTTTTTTGCCATTCACAATTCAGTTTTGAGAGAATACGTTCATATGCTTTGTTAAAAAGTTCAAGTGATGCGTTTGGGGGACGGTAGGTAACCCTTAAAACAATTGGGTCTTGCCAGCTACGCTAGTGATAGATACAAACAGTGATTCTATGTGTTCATTAAAGCAAGATAAGCCAGTAATTTTGCTAAGTTAAGGTTGACCATTGTTAATGATCTGGCCCGGCGCGCGCTACTTCGTAGCACTAACATTTCGAGAAGAAAGCGGCGCGCGCTACTTCGAAGAAATTTAGACGAGTAACATCCGTCAAAGTTAAGGGAGTTGTGCAGGTAAAAAGTGTGACAAAAGTACCGTGTTTGGTAATCTCCTCCGTAAATGTAAAGTAACATCTGTTTGCATGACTAATATAAGTATTTACTTTTTACCATCCAGTGTCAAACTATTAAATAACCAGCCACGAGTTTATCAGCTGATATCATAATTTTATTTGTTTTGACTTGCTAAATCTTATCACTCGGTAATTCACTGACCATTGTTAATGATCTGGCCCGGCGCGCGCTACTTCGTAGCACTTGCCATCGGGCCATTTCGAGAAAAAAGCGGCGCGCGCTACTTCGAAGAAATTTAGACAAGTAACATCCGTCAAGGTAATTCATTAAGCTTTTTTCCTAAAAATAACATTTATATTGATGATTGATTGACGATGTCAACCTTTCCAGATCGTTGCTTTTCGATGCGAAGCAAGAATGCTAGTTTGCGCGGCGCATCGAAGCGGCGAAATCCTCCAATATTTGATATTGATGATTGATCCGCTCGGATGACTAAATACTAGTTTGACGGATGTTACTCGTCTAAA